CATGAAATGTTCCACTTTTCAAGCAACTAGGAGCCAGAGTGATCTGAAGCAAAACTTCATCCATGAGCACCTCATTATTGGGTTTCATTAGGCTAGATTATCCAATAGTACTAAAAGAACACATAATTGACTTTTTGAGCCTTTTTATAACAACATTCCATCATCAAACACTAATAAAGGTGGAATGGTGTTTCCATTATGTAAGAATGCAAAGTATGTGTGATTTTGATGATTATTTCTAAGAGACAGCTTCTCCTCAACACCTCAAGATACTTTTTACAGATCACTCAATGAGCACACTTTTCACTGACATTATTTTTACTCCCAAAATTTACTCCAAAATATCCACTACTCTACTTCTGGGAGTGCTTAGACAATGGTGCCTGTATCACGCTTTGAAAAAGAACTCTTCCCTCGCAGAATCTTTTTAAATTTGCACATTTTTAACCCCAATTTCAAAATAAGATGAAGCTACAGCTATAGTGAATGTGTGAGATGGTTTCAGTTGTAAATATTGGCCTTTACTTTGAAGGACACGTTCCTCCGTGCACACTGTGAACTAATAACCCACGTTTTATGTCATAATATTATACGGATGATGCAGGTTTTGACTTTAAAATGTGTTTATTTTTAAAACTTAAGTCTTATTTTAATGTTTTTCAGGTAAAGTTGTCAAAGGGCAGTACTGCAATAGAAAAAGCGTTTTCACGTTCATACAATGTGAAATATGGTTTGATTATTTAAAATGTTGCACATTCAAAGTGACTTGATCTGTATGTAAATGTATGTCAGCCTATGTATTGTATGTGTGATGTATAATTTGTACATGTATGTTGAATATAATATTATAAAGTGGAGTTACAAGGGGCTAAAGCCATAGACAGTAAAAGATGAGCACTGTCTATTTCAAGTCTCACTTCTCAACCAGATTGGAGTGGATATGACATTCTAAATCAACTTTTCACAGCTTTTGCTCATATATCTATATCCTTTTACATCTGAGACGCCATTTCTTCCATCCATTTTTGCAACAACAGTAATCAAAATTACAGGAAGCAAACGGGCGAGGACCTAAAGGACACCCCTGTCTTCAACCTCTGATTAAATCAACATGTCACAGCTTTTGATTGTGTTGTAGTTGTTTTGCGTTGTTTTGGGTTTTTTTACTCAAAAGAGGATTGCCAGTATTAGAATTATTAGGTCCGTTATTTGCCTAATAAACAACAAACTATGTCATAATTGAACTGGCAACCATGCTGGAAACTAACATAAGCTTTTTCCACTACGCCACTGCACTCTTTTTCTGTCTATGGCCAAAACGGATACAAACTCCTGCATTGTTCTTAAATGTACTTATAGGCAAAAGCAGACTGATGAGTTGGCAATACATTCATAATAATTCACAACATTTTCAATCCACTCGCTTTTTTGTTGTTGTTACAGTTTTCACTTTCAGCCAAAATCGTGCAAAAACTTCATTTTTGATCTAATTGAAAACCATAATTTGTCAAATACATTCTAAAACATCACATAATGACTATTGCATGATCACGTTGACACATTTAAGATACTATAGTGCCATAACAAAGTTCATATTTCTATTTCTTTGTAAATGTTTTGTACAATTTTGAGTTTTGTTTGATTCTCATTGTGGCTGTTTGTCAATCAGGGCTATATGTGTCCTGTACAATGTGCGTCTGTTATTTTTTGAAGTTATATAAGCCAATTATAACTCTATTTATTTATATTTATATCATTTTTGTTGTATCGTATGAAACAGTAAAAATATAATTGAGAATTTATCCTTGCTGTATTTTTTGCTCACTGCTTTTTGATTATAGTCTTATAGGCCTATTAGTAGTCCAGAGTCACAAAGCGCTTTACAATTAGGGACTCACGCAGGCACGGGGAGAACACGCAAACTCCACACAAAGGTCTGGAGGCGGACTCGAACCCAGGATCTACTTACTGTGAAGCACAAGCACTAACCATTATACCACTGTGCTGTATAATAATACCTGCATGTGAAAGCCAGAAGCTAAGCAGGGCAGGGCCTGGTTAGTACTGTGATGGGAGACCTCTGGGAACACCCGGTGCCACTTAGGGGTGGCTGTAAAGTGCCAAACTGTTGTTGTGTCCTTAAGCAAGACACTTTACCCACATTGCCTAGAATGAGTCTGGTGTGTGTGTGAATGGTTGGTGGTGGTCGGAGGGACTGATGGCACATACTGGTTGCCTTTGCTTCTGTCAGTGCCTCAGGGCAGCTGTGGCTACAGTTGTAGTATACGTATAAACAGTAGCAGTTGTAGAAATAGTCATGTAGTAGTAGTAATAACAGTAGTTGAAATAGTTGTAGCAGGAGCTGAAGTAGTAGTAGTAGCAGCAAAAGTACCGAGACACCTTCTGTACTTTTTTGTCACAACTATAAACCTAAAAACGAAGCAAGATTAAGTTATGCAAACATTTCCAAAGTGGCTCACGGAGCACTGTTCAATCCATTATCCAGGAATAGAAGTACTCTGACACAACTGCAAACCTACTAAGACTCGGCTGTCTGACCAAACTTTCCGCTCCAACAACGCTCCGGCTCTACTCCTGCAACGCACCGGCTCTACTTCAGATGCAGAACGCACTCATGATTACTCAAGAGGAGGTCCAGGGATCAACATGGGGCAATTTTTTGTTTACACTCTATTGTATAAAATCAATGAATTAAGGATTATAGGATCATTCCCAAAGACACGGAAAACAACTCACATTTTCACTGGTTGAAAAACACTGCCATAGTTTGATGAATAAAACAACAATAAAACTTCTTTAAGACATGCATTTTATTGAATACATTCATACATTCAACAGCAACTGGTGCAATCACAAACATACACACAATTCAATATTTTGTGAGGTCTATACATTTTACATATGTCGCATTTCTCTACTAAACACAACAATCTCAAACCATGCATATGACCCAACAACACTGACACCCCCCCCCCCCAAGGATTTTACCGCAATTTGCAATATATATATTTTTTATTGAAACGTTTTGTCAATTATACAATGATTTAATAGAGAACTATATGTGCTGACCCGGAACCACAAAACTGTACATTTGATTTATTGCACTTCATGGGCCTGTATCTTTATATTTTTAACTGGTTTTAGCTCAAACCAACCATTTATATAACAGATAAATATATCATTATATATTTATTAGATCTATGCAAACATTTTAATCCCTTAGTTAGTCAAACTCATATCTCAGGCAATAGATAAACTTTAGTACATAATAATAAATAAAACAACCCAGGCAAAGTGCAATTTATAAATTATTCAGTGAGCTGTGTTTTTTTTCTTTCCAAGTTAGTATGTGTTCAGACAGCTTAAAGCTGATGTACCTTTAATAAATAATGCAACAATCATACAGATTAGAAAACCTGTTGAGCCCTGTGAGTCACTATTTGACTCTCTGGGCTGAGAGCTGATTGGCTGAGGGACGGTGGTACTCTCGTTTTCCCTTTTCTCTTTTAAAAAACTGATCTAAAGAGTGAGGAACTTGTTTGATAATCTGACAATTAACTATTTTTGTGGTAAAAAAAAAAAAGGTACTCTAGCTTTAAATAATTCAAAGTGCAATTTAAGCACCATTGTGATTAATTGTGCAGTCCTACAGTAAGAGATGACTAGAAAGCTCAACAGTTCCACCTATTGGCAGAACTGAGAAATTTAGATCTAAATCTAACATGACGTTTTCCAATTGAAATCACAGTTGTAACAAATGTAATGTGACTATATGTGAGTATGAGTCTTTGATACTTTAAAAAAGCTCTGTCTATTGTCACTTTTTACAGAATTCCAAAAGCAGTCTACTGTTGTAGTTCAAATGCTGGCGACATTTTCCAGAAACTTGACTAGTGTTTGATACTTACAGCGCTCCATTATTAGATGTGTTGTTGTTTAAACCATATTACAGATTTAAGCAAAGCACTGAAAAAATAGGCATAATATAACGTTAACTTTAGTTATTTCAGAAATGTGATGTGAAACAGACACAAGGTGGAGTCCTGAGTCTGTATGAGAAATAGAGAAATACTAAAATCAACAGAAATAGATACAACAGAAATATAGGGAAACACACTTTTTTAAGTTATTCCTTTGTTTAACTAGTATAGTCCGAACCCTAATCTTAGTAGTATTTACGACCTTAGCATTTGAACCCTTTATCAATAGTAGTAGATATTTTCGGCAACCCTCATTTGGCACCACAGGAGCATCAGCTTGCGTCATTAGGATCTGTCTGTAGCAAGCAGACGCTTTAGGTCAAGTTGTTTTAGTTTACATTGAGTTCTATAAGAGTTCTGGGTAGCCCTCGTGAATTCAGTCTGCAGTACCACGGGTGCCCCCTGTTCCCAGCTATATGCTAAAAATACCCTATCCAGATAATAAAATATGGGCTGTAGCCTTAGCTTGCTTCAAGAGCACTAGCCTGTAGCATTAGTGTCTATCATTAGCATTAGCCCAGGAAAGCCCCAGTATTTTTTGTTGACTACCCTAATTTTGACACTTAGCATTAGCTTGCATCATTAACAGTCCCCTGTAGCTTAAGCTTGTATCATTAGCATTAGCCTCTAGCATTTGTGTGTAACAAAAGCATTAGCTTAAGCAAGTCTTGTTTAAATACAAGTTTTAAAAACAATTAGTATTTTTTTTCTTTATAGCCCTAATTCTTTCTCTACTATAGCATCAGCTTGTATTTTTATTATTATTAGGCCGAAGCATCAGCTTGTATTCTTTATTCACATGTAGCCTGTGTGTTTTCAGCTGCTGAGAAGGACGATGATGTAGATGAGCAACAGGCAGATCAGGATCAGGGTGAAGTTCACGAACAGCTCCTGCAGGTTCCTCTTGACCTGGGGGTTCACCTCGATTTGAGACGCCCTCCGGATCGCAGACTTGGTCATGTGCTGCACACGCTCCATGGCAACAGGTCAGAACTCAGGTCAGGACTAGAGGAAGGAACACACACAACAAAACATGGTGTTTTATTTGCCATGGATAAAAGGTTAATATGCATTTTCAATTGTTTTATATTCACTAAGTCAATATTATGAAGTGCAAATAGCAGAAAGCAGATGGATCCCGATATTTTGCCCACGCAATTGAACTATTGCTGTATTTGTTATATGTTTCACTTTTTGTATGCCATCCATCCATCCATTCTCTTCCCCTTAATCCATTTCTGGGTCAGGGGGGTGACAGTCAGAGCTGTGACAGTCAGAGCTGCACCCAGTTCACAGAGCACCAGCGCCTCACTGATCCTCCTGCAGTCCACAGGATTACGTATGTGTCTTGCTCAAGGACACAACGACCGCAGTCATCAGTGGGAGTCTAAGGCCAATGCTCTACCAACTGAGCCACTGTCGCCCTGAAGGTTCAATTAAAATTAAATTTCTGCACTTCAGTTAATGTGCAGATCATAATAAATGTGACAGTTGAGTTGATTTTTCTCAATTTTTGTAATGTTTTGCTCTAATGAATAGGAAGACTTTCTGTATCACAATATGTTGAATTGTGGTCCAAATGTCGCAACACTTAAAAATCATTCTCTTTTTTGCCAATTCCCAACCCTACAAATAAAACTTAAACTTAACTACTTTAAAATACACAAAGAATGCATATCAACATGGATACCTGTTAGAGTCAGACTTCATTCAATAATTTGCAATCAATTTTTCCACTTAAAATATGCGGTTTACCAAAAAATGAGAGAACATTATAATTCAGATTTTAGCAAGACAGGTCGGTGAAAAATATACTTTTCACTTGCATAGGTTTCCATGACAGCAAGTGGAACATCAAACACATGTCTCAATCAAACATGGCCAGAAATATTTCTTCAATGGGTTGCCAGGTCATACGTTTTCAGGTCAGTGATTCGGCCGTACTAGTTTTTAGCACTGATGCCCCACATAAGATAAGATAAGATAAGATAGACTTTATTGATCTCACAGTGGAGAAATTCACATTTGTCATGGATAGAATCACTCAGCACAGTTAAATTTGACTTTGATTATTAGTGCAACATTTGTGCTTTGTATAATGAGATGCAATTGATCAGATATTGGTTATTCTGCAATTCTGGTTTTGGAGATATGCAAAAATCATGTGTTGTTTTCTGGACCAAAGATTTTCCACACCACAACCTTTCTTCGTTTTTACCTTTTGCTATTGTTTTTGAGTAATATGTCTTTTCTAACAGCAAAAGAACTGGCTCCACTAACCACTTTCTGAACCTATGACACGTGGATGAGGAGTAATGAGTCCTCTTTTATTTGTATTAATTGTCCTCATTTGCTCCATAGTCCTTTCTATCCCTCACTTGACCTGCCTCCATCTGTATTGCTCCTAACAGCTTAACATTTAGCTTCGCGCCGCTGTTACCAGGAGTCTATAGGTCTGCACAGGCACACATAGCACACATTGCTTGGCCAGATTTAACCGCGTGGAACAAGATGGTGGCAGCTCTTGTTAACATCCAACACCCTGTTTCAGATTTCAGCACTTACAACTCTGCTTAATCTCCACTGAGTCTTCTGTGGACGTCCCGATTGGTCCACCAGGGAAAAGGAGCGATGCGATTGGCCGAGAGGCTCTTGAGGGACAGCTGGATAGGGTAAGCCCAGGATTGGTGTCTGGAAATGATTGAAGATAAGTCAGGCTTGTTGACATGTTAAAGACGGGCTATAAAAACTATGGCATCTATATGTCTCGCTGGTATGTGTAACTTTGTTTTGACACAATGTAAAAAGGTCCCGGGAGTTTGACCTGGACTACAGCTTTTACATGCCGAGGTTTGGCCCTTGTGTCTTTTCAATTAGCAACCAGCCAGGAAACATACCAGGCTTCTTTCCCTTTGGTTTTGATTCAATCCAAGATAAACTGGAATGAACCAAAACATTTGATAAAGAAAACATTGTTTGCATCACAGGGAATCATTTTTGTGCCTCTCTTCTCTTTATAAAATATAAATTTTTGGCCAATTTTATACTGAATTCATTTACATTTTTATTTTGTATAGCCCTAACACAACATCAGCCACTTAGTCGACTAAACAAAGACTAAAGCAGATCTAAACCAGGTCTAAACCAGGTCTAAACCAGGACAAAACTAGATAGAAACTTTAATGACCCCTGTAGGAGAAATTCAGGTGTCCACTAGCAGCAAAAACACATTCATCCACACAAACAAAACAAATAAATTCATCATTTATGATTAAACTAATCTAATAAGCTAACGATAGTATTAATAGGAAACAGCACTTCAGGTCACAACAGCAGAGATATCAAAACTAGGACGTAACCAGGACTAAAGCAGGACTAAAGCAGGACTAAACAAGACAAAGTTACACAACATTTTAGTTTTACAAGACTTTTGGGACAAACGACAAAATGCGAGGTACCAAAGCTTTAACTTTAGGAGATTGGATCATATTATTTGAACATTTCCGGTAACAACGGTACATATTTGAACATAGAGAACCTTCTGTATAATCTCTGTCCTTGTTGTCGTCTCTTTTGCGTGTCTTACTGTCCATTCTGTGCCCCTCCTTGATCTCTTCTTGAAAATTGACCTCGAATACCTTCTGAGCAAGCGCTTCTGTTGTTTCGCATGTTGTTATTACAGCGATGGAAAACAGGGGTCACACTTTTGAACGCTCTTGTGGTGAGAATACGCAGTGCCAGCCAGAGCTCAGAGGTTATCGGGGTCTGTCAGCACTCGCAGCCTGCACGTACCACCATGAGAGGGCCGTGATAAGAGACGGGGACACCAAAACCCACAACAATATTCATTTGATTCCATTTATTATGTACAGTATAGCTCTAAATCACAACAGTGGTTATCTCGGAGGACTTTACAAAGCTGTCGATTCGCCGACACAGATCCAAGAATTACCTTTAAAATGTCTGGTTTCTAAACTACAGTCTTGGTTGGACACATGTTTGTATTTAGTGCAGGAAGATTGTCTAATTTAAAGCACAATATTTGAACCATATTTACATGTTGGGACGGATGAGAAGACATTTAATTAGTGCTCATTTAGTCCCATTGTTAAAGAAATAAAGACCTGAAATGTTTTTGCAATTTTTGTATGTAATATTTAGACTCTGTGACACCATCAGACTCTGTGACACCATCAGACTCTGACACCATCAGACTCTGACACCATCAGACTCTGACAGCATCAGACTCTCAGACTCTGACACCATCAGACTCTGACACCATCAGACTCTGACAGCATCAGACTCAAACAAACACGAGTATTTATAAATAGATTAACCTTGGATTGCTGGATCTGAAGTTGGCTTGATGACACTGTGAAAATACCTCAATGGCAAATGTGTGTAAACAAGACCGAGGGCCACATAAATCACTAAGTCAGACAAAATCTTGAATCTAATCTGGTATGGTATCTGGTTCAGGAACGTCTGGCTCAAATACATCCCCCCCTTCTCATCTCTCTAATTGCTCCTTCCTCAAACTCATTACACAATGGCGTAAGACTCTGACATCATGGACAGGGCCTGGTTCTGTCTTTTAAAACAAAAGTATTGTCTCAAAATAGTTTAGTAAGTGAAATGATGTCATCCTCAAAAAGCAAAGGGTAAGGAGTGCTGCGTGGTACAGTTTACAGTGGTAAAGTTATTTAAAAGACCAGGTGCTCAATTTGAAGAGGGGTTTAACTTAGTAACAAAAAATGTAGTTTTGATAAAGATCTTAGAAAAATAAATAAATCCAAGGCACTCATGGTCAATAGTTTAGAGAGTTTAAAAAATGATGTCATTATCTGTGTGTTCCAATGAGATCTTCTCTATACATATCATATACAGACTCATACTGGCCACATTTAAATGAGCAAATGACCTTTTGGATTATGATAATACATTTTATATAAATCGAACGTTACATTTCCACAAAATACAGTTTATTGCTCATTCCATCACTGATACATTGGACATTGCAGTCAACATCCCATGAGTGAAATCAGTATTTTTTTTCCCTGTGGCATTTCACAACAAAGTCTATCACTTGAGGCTGCGGTGGAAAAAAAGTTTCTCTGGAGTCCCATGGCCTTATCATGTGGTCTGGTCCAGCGCAGGAGCAGCTGTTTAGTCCTCAGGGAGAGTCTAGCCTCTTTCCATTCCCACACTTCTTATTCAAGCTTTGGAAGAGGTTAAGTCAATGTAGTCCAAGTTTAGACCTGGTTTAGATCCGTTTTAGTCCTGCCACTCCTTTTCACAAGGGAAAAGGGTCTGATTTTGGGGACTTTGAATCTATCCAATCTATTCTATTCTAGTCTATTTTATTTCTTGTCTATTTAGTGAAGCCTATCTGGTAGAATTATAACTAGATCTTTGGCCCCCAAGGATTGAAGGTTCCACAGAAAGACCATATAAAGAGTAAAATCTGATTTAAAAAACAAGTTATAGTTTGTGTAAGGAAGTCCCCTGTGCGTCATTATTGGACTCTTTGGGCTGAGTGAGGGTGGAGCCTAAAATGTATGGATGTGAAAACTGTTTTAAGTTTTAAGATTATTTTATTTTATTTATTTGCTCAAAATACAATACTGTTAATAAACAAAACAACAAAAACGTTATTACAGTTATTTACTGCTCAAAAATTATGAGTACCTGTCCCACGTTCAATCAATACATAGCTTAAGTGTTGTTGGTTTGAAAGTTACATACCTCAGCTTTAAATCCAGTTAGAACCACTTTGACCCGTATCAGACTTAACTGGGGGATAATAGGGACTAGTTCTTCTGGTTCTAGCCACGACGTTTTGTCACTCATTTCCAATGTTTTAAACAAGATGTCTTTAGACCTGGTTTAGTCCTGGTTCAGTCCTAGTTTAGTCCTGGTTTAGTGCTAGTTCTATCCTAGTTTAGTCCTGGTTCTGTCCTAGTTTAGTCCTGGTTCTGTCCTAGTTTAGTCCTGGATCTGTCCTAGTTTAGTCCTAGTTTTGTCCTGGTTCTGTCCTAGTTTAGTCCTGGTTTAGTCCTGGTTCTGTCCTGGTTTTGTCCTGGTTTAGTCCTGGTTCTGTCCTAGTTTTGTCCTGGTTCTGTCCTAGTTTATTCCTGGTTTTGTCCTGGTTCCGTCCTAGTTCGGCCCTGGTTCTGTCCTAGTTTAGTCCTGGTTTAGTCCTGGTTCGGTCCTAGTTTAGTCCTGGTTCTTTCCTGGTTCTGTCCTAGTTTAGTCCTGGTTCTGTCCTAGTTTAGTCCTTGTTTAGTCCTGGTTCTGTCCTGGTTCTGTCCTAGTTTAGTCCTTGTTTAGTCCTGGTTCTGTCCTAGTTTAGTCCTTGTTTAGTCCTGGCTTAGACAGTGTGTTCTGCTTTTATCTCAGTCATTTTGACCTGCTTTAGACCTTCAATGTTTAGTCTTTTTTGCCCAAATTTCACATTTCAACTTCATTCATTACTTTTCATTTCTGGATTTCTCTTTGTTAGAATTGAAGCACATGATCAAGAGAAACATCTCAATTTGGGGAAACTTTTTTGTTTTCATAAAAAGTCTCACTTTAGAATAGAATAAAACAGAATAGATCTTTGTCTGTTTAAATTGAGCAGAGATCTGTCTTTCAACACGGCACATTTAACATATCATGAATTAAAACACGTACATTTAGCAAAGACACAACAGATCATGTAAACATACTACTACAGTGCTACACTAAAAAATTCCAGGCATTTGGAAACGACTGATGTGACCTGTGTGTTTTTAGAGCGAGGAACGAGTTTGTGAATCTGGTTTAGACCAAGTTAGTTAGTAACAGTATGTTTTGGTAACTACTGCGAATGAAATAATTTAGTATGTCTCAACTGTAGACGCTTTTCTCGAGGTTTAGTCCTGGTTTACTCCTGGGTTAGTCTTATCTTTTAGTCTTGCTTTAGTCCATTATTTTAAAAGTAACCCTATTGTGACCATAGATGACAAAGTAGTTCTTACCTTCAGATGTAGAGACAGAAGTCGGTGAAGTTGAGAACAGAGATGTGAGAAATGCAACTTCTCTCTGGGAGTGAAGGCAGAGACAGAAGGGGAGGAGAGAGGTTTGGGTTATTTTGAGCTGCAGCAGCAGCAGCAGCAGGGAATCCTTCGTTCATGATAAAATGTTAATTGTGGGAAATGTTAAGGGGACGTCCCAGGACTGATCCAGGACTGAGATGTCAGAGAGGCAGCTGTTGAGGGCAGACTGAGGCCACCGTGTGACCAGCTTGTGTTTTCTGCAAACAAATCGCTGAGATTCAAAATGAGTTTAATCTTTATGTGGAGTTTTGTTGATCCAGGAGGACAGTGGGAAAGGTTGGCGTGTTGTTTGGACCTGTGTGTTCAGGAATGTGTCCAGATAAAAGAATCAAAGCAAACTTCAGACTTTCAAAATAAGTCATTTAAAGAGAGGGGTCAGAGGGAGAGACCAGAAAGAGAGAGACCAGAAAGGAAGACCAGAAAGAGAGAGAACAGAGAGGAAGACCAGAAAGAGAATGAGAGAGACCAGAAAGAGAGAGAACAGAGAGAGAGAGCCCAGAAAGAGAAAGTGACCAGAGAGAAAGAGACCAGAAAGAAAAAGAGAGAGACCAGAGAGAGAGAAAGACCAGACACCAGAAAGAGAGAGATCAGAAAGAGAGGGACCAGAGAGAGAGGGACCAGAGAAATACCAGAGAGTGCATTAGTCGATTGTGTCTTTGTCAAGTTGTATCAGATTGCTGTTTTGAAAGGAATTTTATCGGAACATTTGTATAATAAGCACAGGGACTGACCTCCTGCCGGGACTCTGAGGAGCACAGGGACTGGCCTCCTGCTGGGACTCTATGGAGGCCAGTTTAGGTCAGAAACGCCATTTTCAAAGATTCTTCCAGTTGACTACAATCTCAAGCTTTATGTTCCACAAGCTTTGGTCCCAGGTAATCTTTGATTCTTTAAATTGTTCAAAAAACATGGATCAAACAAACTTGTATTGAGTAAAATAGAAAAGGATTTGGATTAGATTTACATTCCTGATTCCAAGCCTTATGCTGATCCTGCATATTTGAAGTATGTGCTAAAAGTATTTAGTGGTGTGTGATAAAAGGCATTGTCTGTGAAGCACACAGTAACAACAGGGTTCTGGTTGCACTGTGGCTTAATACTGCACATGTGTCTCCATTGTTTTCATTATCCAGGCACATCTACCAACAGCTGATAGACTCTATAAATATAGACATATACGCCCAAAACAATCTATAAATACAACACAAAATAACTCTGGGTGTTGACAACAGAAAGAAGGAAACCAGGCCTGATGTACTGGTCATCTCCAGTACGATGTCTATGCTTTTCCAGGTACCACTACTTATATAAACTTGACTGCTTTCTTTTTTTTTATAATTTATAGAAATCTCAGCTGCTTATTTGGAAAAGCTTTGAAGGCCTGTGCCCTGAAATTTCCCCGCTGTCGGACGAATAAAATATCTCTTAATCTTATTTTTTCCCACTTGGTATTTCATCCTGGGCAGAGGGAAATGAGCACATCCACACAGTCCTCGAAGGACCAGTGTGGCTCCAGCTTTTAATTAACCAGACTCCAGCTACGGCCTCTTTTCATGGTCTCTCTTACAAGTTTTTCTGGTCTCTCTCTCTCACTCCAATCTCTCTCTCTCTGGTTTCTCTCTTGTCTCTCTCTCTGGTCCCTGTCTCTCTGGTCTCTCTCTCTAGTACCTCTTTCTAGTCTCTCTCTCTCTCTCTAGTCTCTCTCCCTGGTCTCATTGTCTCTCACCCCTCTCTCTGGTTTCTCTCTCTAATGCCTCTCTAGATTCTCTTTCTTGTCTCTCTCTCTGGGCTCTCTCTCTTGTCTCTCTTTCTGGTCTCTCTCTCTAGTCTTTCTTTGGTCTGACTTTCTAGTCTCTCTCCCTGGCCTCTCTCTCTTGTATCTCTCTTCAGTCCCTCTCTCTGGTTTCTCTCTCTAGTATATCTACAGTATAGTCTCTCTCTCTCTAGTCTCTCTCTCTGGTCTCTCTAGTCTTTCTCTGGTCCCACTTTTTCGTCTCTCTCTCTGGTCTCTCTCTTGTCTCTCTATCTGACCTCTCTCTGATTGTACAGCTGCTTGGTAAAAAGCCAATATAATTTGAAAATTATATTATATTTTCTCTCTGACTGGTTATTTAAACACAACTATGGTATGTTTTTGTATATACTTTCAAAATAAAATAAACTCACATTCCATGCTCTCTCTCTCTCTCTCTAAATTTTGTTCATCCAATAAAGTAGTTAGATTTCCCCCTTGGCTCTGAGCTGTGGCAGAGTGCTGCGTCCTTACATGGAGCTAAAGCCACAGCCGCTTTCACTTGAGATAACAGGGGGATTGTACGTGGATTAAAACGTTCAGGAGCCACAAATCAAACACAAGAGGTCAGAGAAACGTCCCACCATTACACATATTTTGGCTTCATGAACAGAATTATGTATTATTTCTGTTTATTTTGCCTGTTAAACATGAACTTCGGTGTGTAGAGGAGGAGATACACTGGGTCTGGTAAAACTGTATAAAGGGCAGGTTTATTTGTATAGCACAAGGCAAATGAAAGTACAAAACAAAACAGAATCAGAATTATTGTTGTTGCCATTGTGAGTAACACAATGTCACAAACTTCGTAAGTTCTTTGGCTCTCGGTGCGAAAGTTATAAAAGTAAAAATAGAATGAGGCCTGCATAAAGAGAAAATAAAATAAATAAATAATAAATAAAATTACTGATATATACAAGTTTGTACACACAATATACACACACAATAAACAATCACAGTACATTGAAAAGAGTGAAGATAAAATCCTTTAGTTGTTGCAGAAACAACTGGAGTGAAATATTGTCAGAGAAGAAGCCTGTCTTACATTCTCAGGAAGTCTGTTCCAAATTCTAGATTCATGAATCTGAAACTCTGCCTCCTCATGTTTAAGCCTGACTTTGGAGTCCCTCAGAGTCCCAGCAGGAGGCCAGTCCCTGTGCTCCTCAGAGTCCCAGCAGGAGGCCAGTCCCTGTGCTCCTCAGAGTCCCAGCAGGAGGCCAGTCCCTGTGCTCCTCAGGGTCCCAGCAGGAGGCCAGTCCCTGTGCTCCTCAGAGGGTCCTCTCTGCTTCTCTTGGCAGCACTCTCAGTACATTCCTTCTCGTCTCCTCTTATAGTTTGCTATGTAACAGTCTGCACCTGATAAAGTGTGAAAGTTCTGCAAAATCACTCCCCTTATCATCAGAGACTGGCCATTACTGAAGTTCACAACTGTGAAAAACTAGTCACATTTCAACAACAAAATTTCTTTAGTAAATGTTGTCAATGCTGGTTCAAACTACAGTTGTCTCGACATCAGCACACACAGACAATTTTACAGACTGCACTAGTCCGGGTCTAGCTAGATGCAAAAGCCGATTGACAATGAACCAAGCAACACTGCTTGCTTAAGTATCAGACGCCTCATGGGTTGGTCACAAGGCACAGGATGTCATCAATACACATGTCATTCAATAATCTTGTAGACTAGTCCTGGTCCAAAACTCCATATCTCTGAGTCTGAGCCTGAGGCTCTCTCTACAGGCTCGGTGGCTGAGTGGATAGCACTCTCGCCTCTCAGCAAGAAGGTCCTAGGTTTGAGTAGGACCTTCGGACCAGGGCCTTTCTGAGTGGAGTTTGCATGTTCTCCCCGTGTCTGCGTAGGTTTCCTCCGGGTACTCCGGTTTCCCCTACCACTAAAAATATGTTCTGGCATGCGCCTCCTGTACTGGCGACCCCGCTCCCATCTCTGTGTGGAGTGAGAGACAAATGCCCAAAAAATTGACAATTGTAAACCGCTTTGAGACTCAGATCTGCAGTGAAAAGGGCGGTATATAAATAAAGATTACTTACTACTACTTATTGGGCCTCATTCACGAACCGTACCTAAGAACAAATTTGTGCGTAATTCTATTTACGAAGATTTTACAAAGATTGTGGCATTCATGAAATTTAACCAGAATTTCTCTTGGGTACGTACAAATCCTAAGAATGCTCAGGAGCACTTGTACGCACATTCAGTGTCGACACGTTCGCACGCTGGTGTTATGAAGTTCAATAAAACAAAACATTACAGTGATATGTCCGTCATATTGATGTATGTATTTATTTGTCGTGGGTTCGAGCCCGACTTTCACCATCGACTCTCACTGATGTCTGCTGTCGTTGTGTCCTTGGCAAGACACTTAACCTCTGGGAACACCTGATGCCACAGTGGGGTGGCTGCGGCTGTAAAGTGACAAACTGCCATTGTGTCCTTAGGCAAGACACTTTACCCCCATTGCCTAGAATGAGTCTGGTGTGCGTGTGAATGGTTGGTGGTGATCGGAGAGGCCGATGGCACATACTGGTGGCCTGACTTCTGTCAGTGTGCCCCAGGGCAGCTGTGGCTACAGTAGTAGTTTATCACCACCGTGTATGGAGTGAAAGAATAATGAATGACATATAAAGCGTCTACTGTCTGTCAGATCTACCAGGAGGAGAAGGAGAGGAGCTCCAACCCGGCTCACCACAACCACAGCCACAGCCACAGCATACCGGCTCACAGTATCAGGACACAAGCACAAGTACAAGGCCCAGAAGGACACAAGCACAGGTACAAGGCCCAGAAGGACACAAGCACAGGTGCAAGGCCCAGCAGAAACACATCCCACACATCACTGTAGAAAATTTTGAAGAAATCTATTAATAACAAAACAAGCTACGCAGGTCTGGGCCTGGCTAGTGCTTGGATGCGAGACCGCTCGGAAAACCACTCTGCAAAAAACTGATATTAGGAGTCATACTGTGAATTAAGTTGTTTACAAACTGTTGCCTCAGTTCAATGCCGTCTGTGATCGCAATCTTATGGTCCGTTCACTCCACGGTTGGGAACCGCGGTAAAGTAAGCCGCATCTTTCACCTCCGAAGTAAAACGGTTTTGTTGACTACTTACGGTAATAGCGGAACAGCCTTTAAGCGCGCTGAGGGGACTCGTTTTTGTGAATGAACCCTTATTTGGAAAGCATTTAATTTGGTCAAAAAGTGAAATTTTCAGCAGCTGTCCATTTTTACAGTAAAGACTTGTGTGGCTTATTCCACTTCATGACCTCACTACTGCCTTCAACTCTGTGCCTACAACCACACACCTTTACTGTGGAAATGTTGGGTAAAATTGAGACAAAGTAAACTTTTTAGTCCAAAATACACAAAACTGTAAGAAAATTCCCTCTTTTGATCCACTGTAACATTTTACTGTAAAAAGGTGTGCAACTAATTTCACTGGATTCATGACCTCATGATTGGCCTCTAACACTGTACCAAAGACCAGAAACTTTTACTGTGGAAATTTTGATAAATATTGATTCAAAGTACCCATTTTGGTCCTTAATACCTCAAAAATGGTCAAAACATGTCACTTTTGGTCAACTGTAACTTTTATTGTGGAAATGTTGACAAATAATTAGTCAAAGTACCCCCTTTGGTAGAAAATAAACAAATGTGCGCAAAAATTCCCATTTTTGATCCACTGTAACTTCCACATTCATTTTATTCCGCTTCATCTGTTGCCGGGTCGCGGGGGCAGCAGTATAAGCAGAGACGGCCAGACTTCCCTATCCACATACACTTCCTCCAGCTCGTCCGGGGGGACCCCAAGGCGTTCCCAGGCCAGCTGAGATACCCTCTAGCGTGTCCTGGGTCTTCCCCGGGGCCTCCTCCCGGTGGGACGTTCTCGGAACACCTAGCCAGGGAGGCGTCCAGGAGGAACAGATGCCCGAGCCACCTCAGCTGGTTCCTCTTGACATTGAGAAGCGGCGGCTCTGCTGTGAGCTCCTTCCGTGTGAC